TGTATTTTGCCAAAGCATCAGCGTCAAATATTGATATTACTGACATACTGACAGCTTCCAAATGACTAACGTGGCAATGGCACCCATTTTATAATGAAGAGCAAAACCACGACAATTGTTTGAAACAAATGACTGCCGCAGAATTCCTAGAATTTTTCGATCGCTTGCTAAACCGCCATATTGTATTTAAAAAAAAAAAAAAATTACAGTCGAACCTCTTTAATTCAACACCCCAAGGGATCAGAGCTTTCGGTTGAATTAAAGGAAGTGTTGAATTAAGGTTAGATGATTAGCTAATCATCTAACTCACTAAAATAATATTTTTTAAAAATTGCTTTGTAATATAAATTAATGATATTAATTTAAACCATTGTATGTACTTTTTTTATTTATTTTTTTTTTATTTTCATGATTAACTTTTAGTATCAGGGACAAAATGGCAATAATTACATATTTTTGAAACATAAATAATTACAAATAATATTTTATTCTAATTGAAGAATATAGCAGTTGAAAGGAAATAAATAGGGAAAATAAAAAGAAAATTTAAAAATAATCATGAAGATCTTTTTGAAAATTCCTTTATAGATGTCTGTTTTTGCACTGAAATCCTATTCAGAATGTATTCCAGATGGTCTATTTAAAAAAAAAACATGCATGTCTTTCTTCCTCTGGAATGTGTTTTAAATAACAAAGTGTTTTTATTGTATTAAAGGCATCTACTGTTGCTGCAGGTGTTATTGATTTTGTGTTTAAATCTTTTATAATAACACAGAAATGGAATATTGAAATAAAATGTTATCATAATCATTGTGGCTACATATTTTATGAAGATTTATTTATTTAAAAGGAAATTATTTGTAAATTTTTAAATAACTAAAATATTTCAATGCTGAAAATTAAAAAGAAAATAATATTAATTAGCGCACGAAGCCTAAATTCCCGCGTAAAAAAACAAACAAAACAATAACACTTGCGACATTGCGCAACGGCACTGCAAAGTGAAACTTAAACTGAAACCAAAAGTGCGCGGCGCGATTCTATCGGCGCCCGCCGATGCCGATCGTCGCCACCGTAATATCATTTTAGCGGCAAAGTTGTATGTAAAAAAAAAAACATTCAACTGTCGAAATTCGAATTTTAAAATGGTCGAACTATCGGAACTGTCGTATTATCGATACTGTCGAATTACGGTTTGTTATTTGATAGGCCGGAGGTCGGGACATCAGAATATGGTCGAATTAAGGTAGAGTGTCGAATTTGCGTGTGTCGAATTAACGAGGTTATACTGTATATTTGCGTTGCTCCTGTAGAAGGGCCACCATACCCGAAAACTTGAGCATTATTAAACGTTTTAAAAAAGAAACGCAACCTCGGAGGCTTTATTATTTTGTCCTAAATATACTGTATATGTTCACTGAGGACCACTTGAACAATTTATCCCGCATTTATTATATACATAAATTAACACAAAGCAATAACGCGCCATCTATACATATAAAATGAAAGGATTTAAAAGCACGAAGGTTTCTTTTATACATAACTAGACGAATGGCCCGGGCAACGCCCGGGGTTTACCCGAGTGCGAATATATTCTAAAAACGTTGACTTGGGTGGTCGCTATTAACAGGGTGGTCTGTATAGACAGGTGGATGTATCACACAGCTGATAACAGGGTTGTCTAGAGTGGTCGCTATAGACAGGGTGGTCTGTATAGACAGGTTTATGAGAGAGGCACAAACTTACAGGTTGTTGACGCCGCAACTCTATGTTATATGATAAGGAAAACGGAATAAGGAATACACTACGCAACTTTATTTCTAGTATTTCAAGTTTAAGAATAATTGAAATTCAATGAGTTTACACTTCAAAAAATTCTCCAGTATGTATCTATCTTTTTACAACGAATGAAGACATTAATACGCGAGAGAGAGTGTTTTTTGTTGCATCATGCTGTGACTCACACGACGACTCAAGGTCAACAGGGGTGGAGCAGCAAGCTTTAGCCTATCACCGTCTGGCGGCGCTGCTTGCGAGTTATATCTACAATTCTGCAAATAACTCTAAGGATATTCAAGATATTCAAGAAATTATTTTTCGAAAACCTTTCCGGGGATATACCTAATAATATCCCAGAATTTCACGGCGATTGGATGTATGGTTTTTGAATAACAGGGTTGTCTAGAGGGGGGCAGGGAGGACACGTGTTCCCTTGCAGCCAATGAGCGCGCATTCTATCCGTGAGCTTCAGACAAACAGACAGAATAAGGCAAATATATAAGTAGATACAAACTTCTACTGCCCTTTCTGCGATGAAAAAATATATTGGGAGGGCTTGGCTCATCAGTGGTGAACCCTCCCAGCGGTTTCGCCAATTTAATCCACCAGACCGCTTCTCAGAGCTCCAACACTGTATTGGACGATTCTGCCCATATACGCAGCACTGAAGGATGGAATCTCAGAAATGGTTTTCAAGAAAACTATGGACATAAGCCCATAGGACAGCAGAATTACATTCAAATATTTGCATCGAGCAATGCTCTTCCGCAAACAATAAAGACAAGGCCAGTTAGGCATAAATTAACACAAAGCAATAACGCGCCATCTATACATATAAAATGAAAGGATTTAAAAGCACGAAGGTTTCTTTTATACATAATACAAACTTCTACTGCCCTTTCTGCGATGAAAAATATATTTTTTCATCGCAGAAAGGGCAGTAGAAGTTTGTATTATGTATAAAAGAAACCTTCGTGCTTTTAAATCCTTTCATTTTATATTATATACATATTAAATATATTGTAAAACTGCCACACCTCAAGTAACTAAAATTTTGCATTACACTTTGAGAGAGCTCATAGAAATTAGCCGAAACTAGAAAGAACATACCAAAGATTGAGTAAACTAACCGTAGAATCTCACACAATGCCTTTTTCAAATATGGACACAAAGGAAGATTTTAAAAACTTTTTACCATTATCATATAGTAGTGGATATAAAACGACAGCTGCGCCAGTCTATAGGTTCATTGAAGTTTTACCTTACTAATAATTATCCTACATTAAAATGATAATAATGATAACAATGATAACAATATAAAAGAAACTCTTCCCTCAGCGAATTGTCTTTTATTTATAATAATAACAATGTTCATTACTGGTACTATTACTGTTTTTCCTACATTTCTGTGCTTGGAGACTCTGTATAAGACAAAACGGTCTTAATAAAGTTTCTTGTTGTTGTGTTGTTACAATTATCCTACATTAACCAGGCAGACACACGAAGATTCTAGAATGGAGGAATGCGATGTGTCGATTCCTAATACGGTCTTATAGGTAAAGTGGAAGTAAGAAAACTGGAGTATAACATGCTCCATCTAGGTGTGTTCTCCCTTGATACTAACCATTATGTTGGCTTACACAGCTGGTTGTCCTTCTAGAGTTATTCAAAGAAAGGGTCTTGGCCATATACATTGTGTACAGAGAGATATCTGCCTTGTGTGCTTACATCGCCTAACTGAATTTATATTTTCAATTAAAATGATCCCCAAATATAACTTGTATATATTCACCCCATTTTTATAGAGAACCCTTTTCACGAAGAAAAATAAAAATTCAAATTCAATATACCGAAATTACGGACGGAATAGAAAAAAAAAATCCTTTACATTGTTTGTTTAGATGCAAGAAGACGTATATAATTTTATGATCAACTGGAAGCTTATCAATGCCATTATAGGATCGTATGGAAAAAAAGGCCGCATCATAAATAATATACATGTGTGGCCAGTGTATTTATTAACACCTGAAAGAAGATCTATACAAACGTTATATCGTTTAATAAAATATATATCCGTTCACATTGTATGAATGAATGGGAAACTGATTCTTATATAATACCAAATGAAAATAATCCGTGACAACTTTTAGAGTAGAATGGAAGAATTAAAACGATATTCTATAACCCAATGGATCCATTTCACGGAAGAAAACAAAGATTCTCATCTCCCTCTTGGGAGGATCAAAGGAAACGTTTATTCTAAAACCTAACAATGGGCCTATAGAAAGAAAGGCCATCTCTACCGTCAAAATGGATGCTAAAACTAAGTGTCATCAAATGAGCTTCTCCGCGAACTCAGGACGATGACACCAGCTCATAACGCCCACCATGGTTTCGGACTACGACCCTCGTCGGTTGGGGGCAGACTGATTTCATCCACAAGGGATTATTGGAATCTTCCTATTTTGCCAAAGATATGTCAAGCTGTCAAAGTCCAATTCTATAGCCAACATATAGATGGTCACTTTGCCGGGAGGATATTGATTTATATTACAAGAAATATCATGTCTTCTTTCAGAATTGACATTAAAACTAAGCATCTATCTATTGACCATATGTGCAATCTAGCAGACTTGGGTCAATTACAATGCCAACACCAATCTTTGGCAAATTCAGAGCGCCCACTCGGAGACCATATAATTGGCCTAGCAACTTTTATCAGCTAAACATATCTTTGTCAAACTATGAAGATTTCATTATTTCCTAGTGGAGCCCATGAATCAATTCCGTCCTAGAATGGCGAGGGCCATAGTATAAAACCATGTCTCCGGGTGGATTTGCCATACGCTGAATGCTATGAATTTGACGTCGGCCAGAGACTTACGGCCATCTTAGTTTTAGCGTCCATCTTGAAGGAAGCGGTTGGCCTTTCTTTTTATAGATCAATCTCTTTCCGGAAATAATCTCCCTCTAAATGTGGGTGGAGTTATATGTTACAATGAAAATACTTCGTCTTCGTCGTCAATACTTCGTCTGACGAAATGGAAGAAGTGTCTACAAACCGAAGAAAGTCTGGCTGAGGGAGGCGGTCCTCTCTTAGGACAGTTGGACCTTTGCCAAGTGTCTGGGACTATAAAAAGTCCTCCGACATCACGGACACGTGTCGCGCATCTGTCAAGTGCCTCCATATGCTCTCTACTGCCAAGGCCTCTGCGCCTTGGGAAAATGCCACGGCGATGTGTCTACTACAAATATGTAAATTGTGTTATTACCATGCTGCCGTGCTAACGATCGATTTGAAGGCAACATTATAAAATTTGTATTCCCTTTCAAAAGTCGGCTTTAAGATCATCTTAATACAAAGAGAAGTGGATAGAGAAAATAGGAAGGCGTGTAAAGAGAGAATATGCTGTCTTTGAATGATCTCGATCATCTGGTCTTTTCTGCGGCCGCTATATAGGGAAGGGCCTAATTTTGCTATATAGGGGATCTTAGCCGAATCTTGCTATATAGAGAAGGGAAGTTTCTAGTATGTGCATCTTCCTCATTTCCTTTGGTAAGTTATCATCAAACAGGTGATGCTGCGGTAAGGTGACGGAGTGCTGGGCCAACGTTACAACTTCTGTCGACGTCGGTCAGATCGTATACCTAAGTCTCAGAGATGAAGTCCCCAATAAGTGCTTCTCTCTCTCCTTTGGCCAACACACATACATTTAAAAATGAAAATAATTATGGGATATACAGTTAAAGCGAAACAAAAGTTATGTATTTTACTATTTAAGCACGCAATGTTTGTTTGGATGGTTCGGTTTCTCGAAAACGGCTCTAATAATTTCAACCAAATTTTCTATCTAGAGGTTCATTCCAAGATTCCTCACAAAGGAGCAGAAGCGCTGTGCCGGCTCGAAGCTTGTGAGGAGAACATGTTGGATAAATGGAATGGAAGAACAAGATAAGTGAAGGTGATGAAACATGAGTCTGTGACAACAAGCGTCAATACTCGGGATGAATCTAGGCCTCCCCAAAATTAAGGATGTTCATCACATCCAGAAACAATGTAAGGCTGAAAACAATTTTTGGGCCATAAAGGCATTGTCCACAACTAGTATCTTCCAGAAGGCACAAAAATTAACAAAGTAGTTGTATTTAGACATTCTAAGACATTTAAGGAAAGCAATTGGGGGAAAAGGTCAGAAAAATCGGCAAATGGCAATTCAATCTTTACCGTGACAATGCCCGCGCTCGCAAACAGCGCATTTGATTTTGGCTTTTTTGCCAAAAAAAAAAAAAAAATTATCTTGCCTAACCATCCTATTCTCCGGATACTGCTTCCCATTTTCCTTAAATTCAAATCAGCACTAAAAGAAAGTCGCTTTGACACAGGAATAACGTTATTGAACACATTTTAAAAAAGGCATCTCCTTATGGCTTGCGCCATCAGTTGCCCGATAGGAGATGCCTTAAAAAAAATTATCCACCTTATCCCAGTGAAATTTTACATTTGCAATTTTTTTTCACATTATTTAACAAGTTGTAGAAAAGTACTAGGTTTAACCTTTAAAAAAATCCATTACAGGCTCACGCGTCTCGAGAATGGTCTCTGATGTAGCTAATTCTTTTATCTATATAATAGTGTAAAAACAGCCATACTATTTTAAGACGTGAAATTTTAGATTTCAATAGCACTTAAATTGTTTGAACTTTGTTTTAGATATCCAAGTGCACAAAGTCAATGTTGCTCCGGACAGTGCATGTGTTGCTATAATTGTAAACGTTGAAGACTCCTCATCTTAACAAGCCACGGGCGGGCTTGGCTAATCAGCGAGAGACAGGAAATTGTCCCTGCAATCAACCAATTACGGCAATTAGCGGACGATGGCTGTCCTGGCTGGCTTCCTTCTCCATCCTGAGACTGACGGAGCATCGTCATGTTGAGGGGATTGAAAAATATTTCAGAATTTTAAACGTGGCGCCCACACACATAAATTATGACAACGATAATATTCGTTATAGGATAAGAAATACAAGTCGGGGAGAAGTTTATTTTATAAGAGGACGTTCGTACAAGTTTTCGTATTTTTTCTTCTAAACCTAAATTATGCCGAAAAGGCACGGATCGTGTACAAGGAGAGGCGCTTGGAGGTTATGCTGCGTGGGATGGCCAGCTGTTCCTGCGCATCAGCACACGCATTGTGCGTCGAATTCTGGAGCATTACCGTTTGACTCTGTTCGAATCTCAGGGCATTCCGGGTACTGGACTCCCGTGGCCGACATGTCCTTCGCTTCTCCTTCGGGGACTATGCTGAGCATATCGCCCTACACTTGGCCCTGCATGCATGTCTCATCCCAGACTATTTGCATATCCTACAGCTCCAGCGACATATCGCTCGCCCACCGCTGCTACTGGTTCTGAAGCGCCGTTCTCGTCTGTTCACCCAAGAAGCGTTCTCCATCATCAGGCGGCCGCTGGGCCTACAGTCCCAGATCTAAGCGGTGGATTTCGAGGACCACGCCATCACTAAACCCCTCGTCGGCGAAGTTTACGGTCTATGTCTATACTTCGTCGAGAGACGCTGGCGATCTCAGCAACGGAGTTGTATAACATATTCATTGTATTTATTTATATCTCATATATTATCATCACAATTTATATAATTTCATATAATCAAAAATTAATTGTACAAATTATTCACCTGTTGACAGAGTGTCGGATTAGATTGATGTCGATGTTGTCTCTCAAGCACATATGGGAAACTTATATTTTCGACGCTGTAATAAAAACGTGCGTGGGCAGTGGATGAGGATTTTGAATATTGGGTCATTTAGTTGGCGATACCTTTTATGTCCATTATATTTGAGGTGTGGTCCAATCAACAAGATTTAGAAGAACGCCGGCTTCAGGGACCTTGCATATTGCCATCATTTGTTATAACAAAGAACGTTACACATAGAAATTTTCAACAATTAAGTTTGAAGGCGTTATTATAACAACACTGCAAATCAAACGCGCCAGTTTTCAGGGAAGATTAGCATTTTTGTTTGGATCATCGCTGTGGGTAAAATGGAAGCAAGCAACCACGTGACCCCATCAGGGAGGGATACAAGGATTGTTGCAGTTTTCTGTTATGTTGCAATCTAATGACTACTTTGCGTTATATAGAGAAGTAATTAATAATGGGGTCCCACCACGTAAAAATGAATTTGTTGCAAAAAAAAAACTACCTTTGATTTCTTTTCAACTTTAATTAGAAAGAGAATTGATATTTATTGCATGAAAATGCCTTCTATAGTTCTAAAACATCACAGGGGAAAAAAACACGTATATTTATAATTAAGGGCTATGTGCCTTTGTATTTGAACAAAAATTAAGATTTAAAAAAACATAGTTTATATTAGGCAAGATGTTTTAATACGAGCTCCATATTCACAGCCGTCACAAAGATGCAACAGCTTCAAAAGTGAAACATTCACGCTGAGAAATCCTATTAACATACCATCCAACTGTGACGTCGTGTGTACAGACAGCTCCTAACATGGTGGTGTTTATTTTTATACCAGCTCAAGAATTCCACTTTACTCTAGTCTGGCGATGGTGGCTTATAGGAGCCAACAGAGCGATTTCTTTGTAAAATATAATTTTTATTGTCACACACAAAAAATTACCTTCTTTCAAAATACAACATAGATCAGGGGTCTATTGCTCAAAAGAAAAACTTTTTCCGTTGCTTTTAAAATTTTATCTCCCATTCCTATGGTAGAGTGTATTGGGAGGCTCATCATGTTTTGAGTGTAGATTGAAGAATCTAAATGCATGAACAAAACTTAGGAAAGTGGATGGTCTTTGATGCCACCGTGTACTGTTTTTTAAAGGAGACAGGGGTAATTTTATTCACACTTAGTTATCTCGTGTGGCTTCAATAAAGGTCACTGTGTATCAAATAGCTTTCAGAGTTATTGTCTGTGTCTGCCGATATACAAGGAGTTTAAGAGCATGCCTCCTACTGGATGCGATGGGTAGCTTGGAGCGTTTTGATTCGTATGAAGGATAAGGCAGTTCAAGTGGCATTAGAGTCCGTATAAACAGGAGTCCCAGTGTGCCAACAACAGTGCCCTGAAGAAGGCAATCTTTACGTAACTCCGCCGCGGCGCCAGCGGCGGGCGGGAGGGCGAGTGAGTCAGTTCCGGTGACGGCAAGCTTGGGTCAAATGAACGGAGCACTTCTTCGGTCGTGCTAGCCCAGGCGCCACGCTTCCTTACTTCCCATAGGGTGTCGCTGTATGGAATGTAAAGAAGTATGGGGCCTAAGGGATTAGCATTTCACCGTGTCACATGTGGCGTCCATCGTTCCCATCATCAGGTAAGTTGGCAGAATTTCTCTACCAAAATGGAACTCTCCCGACGTGGAACGAAATCTCCCCGAGATAACAGAAGGTTAGAGTGGTGATGAAGAATGTGCCACAACACCATTGGCCAATCTTGGCGTGTTAAAATATAGAATGAGAAACGCATACCTTTTAAGTCGTGGACCACGAAAACTGAAGATGATTTTAAATAAGGCATAAGGTTTCTGGAGATGTGAGTTTATTTTCATTTTTATTGCAATCTGAAGCATTCGGGCATTACCTCCCTTCTACAGGAGTACAAGATGGGCGTTTCATCATTGTTCATTTTTGTACTCCAGTTCATGTAATGCCCGAAATATTGAGATTTCAATAAAAATGAAAAGAAACTCATCTCTAGAAACATGTCGCCTTATTTAATTCACAGAAGATTCCCATTTATTGAAGATGAATCTGGAGAAAAAAGTCGTGAAAGAAAAATTGGCTATTACTTCATCATCACACAATATACGGATATCAGAATTATTGAATGTGATCTGCGACCACTGACGACTTTGACTAAACTCAATGCTAACAACTTAAGAGATTTCTGGCGTGGAGCCAGTTGTGGAATTATTCTATAGAACATCTTCCCTAAGTAGATACTGTGGGGAAGAATACTTGTCTATTAATGAAGATTCATTTGGGTGTGCCTGTTAGGGTTTGAAATAAGGAACAAAAATAAAATTTTAAATATATTTCTTTCTAACAGCATATTACTTCTATGGATTTTTGAAGTGGTAGAAAGGTTTTTTGAAAAATTGAAGAAATGTGTTATGTACTGTTGGCGAGAATGTCATTGCCCTTGTGCCGACTCAATATACTTCCTGATTAGGTCTGGCTTTGGATGAAATGGAATTTGATCGTCCTAGGAACTCAACGGGTTTTCAACTTAAGAAATGAATTTTATATACCGGGTCACTCTTTATTAGTGTTTTTTTTTTAACTCGGGTTTTTTAAAATGTCTCCTAGGCAGAGAAAGTTGTTCGTTTATATATTTTACAAGTACAGATTTTTCTTAACCAGAACAAACAAACAGTTTATTGTCGGTTTTGATGTCGGCAATATTGTCACTGGAAGTTAGAACAAAGGTGCAAGTTCTAAATAAGCGACTAAATCCGATGCTAGATCCGTCCGATGGTAGTCGACCTTAAGGAGCGCAGATAGAAACTTGTCTGCCCTAGACTCAAGAGCAGGTCATATATTTTCATCGACATTTGCCTATCCACGGCAGAGCACAAGAGGAGAAGATTCCAGCAATGATAGTGTGTGCTTATTATACCCACACTTTATTGATATATACTTCAGTATCTTGAAACATTGAGAGTATTAGTCGACACATGGAACAAAGGAATGAAGTGACAACGTGACTGTATTGAAGTATCTAGAAATACGTTTAGCATGTATATCGGGATTCACACAATAACTCTGAAAGATATTACAGTGACCTTACTACACGAGATATAACCAAGTGTGAATAAAAAATTGCCTCTGTATCCTTTAAAAAAAAAAAAAAAAGGATCATCAAAATATGAAAAATTATTTAAGTTTTTTTTCCATGAGTGTGTTTCTAAATAGTTCTAATTTTTAAGAAATGCAAAATAAAGCTTTGGAATTCTCATCTTAAATGAAAAAAATAAAATAATAATAGAGATGCTACGGCGAAGTCTTGTAAATATACCGTTGAAGGCTCTAGGCTCGAATGCTTGCCTTCTTAAATGCATAATAATAATTATTCCTTTGAACCTCTTTTAGCACAAGTAGTATAAGTTTATCTTAATATCTTTACAGGCAAGGCTAGGCCAACTCCATGTGTGAGGCCACGTCTGACATGAGAGTGATTCCGAGAAGGAATACCCATGTTAGAAACATCACCTATCAAGTCAACAGTGTTTGCTACAGCTTAATATATAACGGCTCTGTGGTAATGACAATATTTAAGGACATACTATCATATATAAAATATATATTTTTACTGTGGTGTTTCAAAAGCTTGTGATGCTTGGATGAAAAGGAGTTGTGATGGCTTTAATGAGTAACAGCCATCATGTCAATATGGATCAAGAGGTTTGGTTCAAATCGGGAAATGAGTTTGTTTTGGGGAAAAAAAAAATGTTTCAAATAAACAACTTTCTCTTTGTCGCCCGGAAGAAATTCCTCGACATGGCAATAATGGGGGAGATCTACGTCTGTCCAGGGCGGACATCGAATCAGACGACTCTCAGCTGGATTCGTCTGATGTTGATAATTTTTAATTCTCAAATTTGTTCCCTTTATATATATTTAACCTTATATGAACGATTAATAAATCAGTTTGAATCTCAATCTACTCTAACCGTATATAACTTTGTTAATTACGAATCAGAAATGTGTCGAATAGCAGAAAATTAAGTAAGAAATGTTTTTTTTTTTTTTTACTTGAGGCGCTCGAAGGAAGTGCTTGAGCGGGGGATTTCATCAGATGACCTTGATAACGAGAATGGAATATAAACAAACTTCGTCCTATCATGGGAGATAGTGGTTACAGTTTGGAAGGCCACATGTTGCCTAATGGAAGCGCTACAGAGGGAATTGAACACACATCGCTGGATTCCTGTAGTAGCTTTGTTTCGTTAGGTCGGACAATACTTTGTTCAGTAGTGTAAAAGTAAATAAAAGTGTGTCAGAGGCAGGTGGGGGCTCGATGAAGAAAGTACCTTGTATATGGACAAAACTTAAGAAAGTGGAAAATCTGATATCTCCGGTGGTCTGTGACATAGGAAATTTTGGTCACATATGGTTATCTCGTGTGTCTTCAATAAAGGTCATTGTGATTCAAATTTCAGAGTTATTGTCTAAATACCAAAATATACATGCTAAAAGGTACAAATTCGTTTTGGCCATGAGTGTAAGGTCAGGTTCACAAATAGTTATAAAGAGAAGACAAGTTTAGCTTTGCCATCTCTATGTTCTCGGGATGATGGAATCTAAATACGTAGTCTAGAGATAGAGCTAGGTAGAGAGTTGGTCAGATGGGGCGAGACCGAGTGATAGCATTTGAACATCTTGGTGATGAATAAATAAAACAGCGTGTGTAAATGTATTCCAATGTGTTTAGTGTAAAGACATGTAACGTGTGGAGCACGGCAGGTAAGTTCGAGGCCATAGACGACTGCCGGAAGTGCCAATTCCATTACATCCGGCTTCCCTCCACTCCAAATGATCTTCACATCCAGGTAGTTTGGTGACCGTTCTTCACGCTTTATAAAGATCCCGAATATTGTAAAATAGCGAGTTTGTATTATGCACATTTAATAGGCGCGAGCGAGAGAGAAAAATAGCTAATTAACTTAAATTTGAGGTATATTCCTGACTTAAGTTGACTATACGAAACTAAACTATACCTAATGGGGGGATATGAGATGGGGACTTTCGCCAGAAGTAGAATTCAGATTGTGACAGGTAGTTAAAGAGGTCAAAACCTTCACAACATCAGAGCTAACAAAACCTAATTATTGATATTCTTACTCAACTCCACCAGTGAGTGCAATTAACCAAACGGGGGCAATTACACTCATTGACAAAACTTAAGAAAGTTGTGGGGGTCGGTGGAAGGCTGGTTAAACCGTTTGGTTTTCGACCACTAGGACCCGAGTTCGATTCCCGCATTGGACACTTTTTTTCTGTTTAAAGAAAAAAAAAATGCTCCAATGGCCCCCGATTCTTGCAAAAGTCCAACCCCACCAGCGAGTGCAAGTAACCAAACGGGGCTCTGGCATTAGTAAGTGCAAAGTCGAACTGCTTTTCACATGTGTAGACATGTGGTGCACTTACAGTAAAAGCAGTCGCTAACTACCCACCATGATTATCATGGCCTGTACCACGTGTACTAGGGATAAGCAAAAAAAAAAGAAAGTTGTACCATTTAGCCTGTATATCGGTATTCAGACAATAATTCTGAAAGATATTTGATACACAGTTATCTTTATTGAAGACAAACGAGATAACCAAGTGTGAACAAAATTGCCTCTGTCTTCTTAAAAAAAGATAACAGGCGACATTAAAGACCTTCCACTCTCTCAAGTTTTGTCCATGGGTGTAAATGGGAAAACACACACATTCAAAAACTAAATATACAGATTTAATTATTTATACTTTTTATACGAGGGTTATCGATATATGCTTCAGAGTAGGATTACGAAAAAATGATATCAACAATAATCTCTCTTATATTTCTCTATGATTATGTGTTAAATTAGGTGTGCTTTGTCACGAAAGCTTACTCCAGTTGCTTCTCTTAAGGAGGTTTTAACCTCCTTTCTCTAAAGGCAACTAGTTGCAGAGTAAGTGTCTTTTAGAGAGAGGTGTCTTCTTACCAGTGTGAGAGCAGCTAATTGGTAAAAATGAACATTTTGGGATATATGATTGATGATACCTTAGGTACCGCAATATAAACACTGATCCTCTAATGTAAAAGAGCAGAACTTTCAGGACCTTCGAATTGGATTTGCACAGTCAAGTTCTTTTGGTAGTTTTGTTCGCTTGAGGAAAACAATTGACTAGACTTTGGTTTGATGGCAACCGTAGAGCCATGCTTCACCCCCTGATATAACTTGTACACTGGATCAATTATCTACCCAGCAAATTTTGGCGGATTTCCCAGCGTGTGTCATATCATTCGAGGTAAACACAAACTTGCTTTCCAGACCTTTGTGATTGGCATAGTCCATATTGGTCTTTTAAGCAACATCTCTGATTATTATTCTATGATTTTAAAAACATTTTTAGGTACGCATACAATTTTTTAGCTTTCGGATTTTGCTCATATAATCCAAAACAGACTTCTCATCATTAAAGATCTTAACCATTCGAAAGTTCTTTCCTTTAATTGCATCTTCGCGAACTCTTTTGAAGCGATAAAAACTTTCTGTTACTGATTTTTCCATTTAAACCAAAATTTCAAACATACAGGTTTTTTAATCAAAGAATCAAATAAAGACTCGGCTACCGAACGATAGTCACTACGTTTACTTCAAATATAATTTTTTGAATATTATATCGGCTGATTCTTATTTATCGTTTTACTAGATATTTATATATATTAGAATAATAATTTAAATCATTGAAACACGATGTCGTTTTCCTGTATGGCTTTGAAGGATCAGAGAGTAATTATGCACCAGAAGATTGCGTATGAAAACAATTCGCCATATGTTAGTAAAAGTAGTGAAAAGCAAGACCAATGCATTGGATTTTCACACATTCTGGAGAACAGCACAGTCAAAAGGCGTAAAACACAGAAGAGCGACCCAGCTTGAGGAAAAGATTGATGTTATTCTCCACTTTCTTTAGATAACTGTTATGATTACTTGGGTTTACCCAATCTAGGAGAATCCTGTATGGGACGAGGGTACCTAATAAAGGCTTTGTTGTTTGTGGAACATAATGTTAAGAGGGTTCCAGGTTATCTTTATTCATCAAAAACTTTTAAAAATTATATTCTTAAATGGGAGAAGGCCTTGATTCATCTGCAAAGCTTATGCGAGGCCACTAATTGATTAGAATTCTATGTGCCTCTCTAAAATTCTAATTGTTTCTGTGTGTTTTAGCAGGTCGCCAAGGGAGATGAATGAATCCAGTAGAAACTCCACGTCGAAATATTACATTGGTGTCATATTTTGTCATCTTTTAAAACATGCCTCTAGTCACCTGGAAATTGAAGGTAGCTGTGACTCAATATCTTCGATAAAATAATCCCTTGAATCAATATTATAATAAAAAAATATAAGGCTTCCAGGGAAATTTTTCTTAAAAAAAAAAAAAAAAAAATTACAAATCTCTCTAGCTTTCGGTCATGAAAGATCTTCTACAGGAGAAACTATTTTACATTAAATCCCCAATAGAATAAGGGTTAAAATCAAATAAAATGCTTTGGATGTTTACAGTTATTTAAATGCAGAATCAACGCGGGCCTCCATTACTGGTGCTTATCGAGTTTGCTTATTCAGAGGCGATATCTTCATTTGAAGATTATGGGATGGGTTCAGGGAATAGTATATTATAAATTTATCTCTTTCTCTCATTCAAATGTGAATTTGAATTTAACAAGTGAAACAATTAGGATGACTCGATAGAAATTACAGCCATTTCGGCCACAACTCTATTGATGCATGAACATTTTCAGAAAATTCTCTTTTTTATTTGCTTATCCCTAGTACACGTGGTACTAGGCCATGATAATCATGGTGGGAAGAAGTAGGCGACTGCTTTTGCTGTAAGTGCACCACATGTATACACATGTGAAAAGCAGTTCGACTTTGCACTTATAAATGTGCCAGAGCCTCTCATTCTCATAATATATGCAAATATTAAATAATGAGAGTAATATATAGTTGCAATATGTTTAATCCCCTACTTAAACAAAAATCAATAAATATGAATAAAACACCAAGTTTCACTATATAATATTTTCTCAAGTCGCGGTAAGGTCTGCCTATGTGGTTTTATGATGATTTATTTAATGAGAAACAATAAGGGCCAAAATATGTTTCAAAAACAGTTTGTCTTTTATATCTCTTAATATAATTTTACAAGCTATGGCCGAACGCTGAATGGCAAATTTTAAGTTGAATGTATTGGACAGAACAAGAACACGCCTGCCTCGTTTTACCCTGGCTTTAGAATACCTTGAAAAGTTCCTGTGACCAATAGAAAACGTCTGGTCAAATGGTTACCGAGTGATTGGCTCTACTATACTCCAGTCATTACTATGTCGATGAACTGTGGCATTGTGTTGAAGCTGCATGGCAAACTGTACCTCTACATGCCATCTAATCTCTTTGTGACTCAACGCCCATGTGTATAAGTTCTGTTATTGCTACCAAAGGTGGTTCTCTTCAGGCTACTGAATTGCAAACATACTGAATCATTACAATTCTTCAATATACACAGTTTCGTTATAAGGTCTTCTTTTGTGGAAAAATCAATAAGACGTTCTTTCAATGGTTTCTCTTTGCTAAAATTGGGTTGAATAGGTCATCTCATATCTTGGCCTCTACCCACAAAGTTCATGGCAGCATATTTGGCAATGGTTTAATCAGTTTATTTCTGCATGAATCCTATTTCTTCTAGGGATTAAATTCATTTACGGGGTATTCACTCCAAAACGACGTATTTACGGATGGTTAGGTTTCCTTTAAAAAATACTGGATGGAAACCGGCATCTCCCACCAGATGTTGCGCCTTCATGTACGGTTAGCTCTGGTTCGACTGTATCTATCGTTGTATGGTAGACAAGACCAGAGCTGGTAGTATTGAAATGATTTATTTATTACAGGGGAAATGTTTTAGAACCATCTTCCTTTCAATATCTAGATAGACGCTCGAACAATATTCACCGAAGAATTCGCATCACGTAATTTATGATCTACCGACAAATTACTCTATATTTAAAATTATTATTATTTTTTAAATATCATAATAAAAAACATCTGCTGATATACATTTGAAATCCCGTTAGTCTTGAATAAAACTTCTTAGAATGAATTTCAAGGCATATCCATTCATTTTGCAGAACCAGTCTGTGAAACGCCCCATCAGTGAACCCACCCACCCTTACAGAAGTCGCGACATATCCATCCTAAGAGAAGGGGAACGAACTTAACTGGGGCCAATTGGGTCAAGTGCCAGTTGACATCCCCTCCACAGCGGCTGCTGCGGGATACCTTCCTTCATCTCCCAACTTTGACATCTTCCATTTAATGGCGGAAAAGTACAAATTCGAAGAGGGAATGTGTGTGGGAATATATTTTAACCACACATGCGAGGTACCGAGAGAGAGAGAGTCCATTAACTCATTATATCAAGGTTTTCTCACTTTGTTCGCACCCTTTCGGACTTTCTCGAAGAGGTAATCAAACCTACCATCGTCTTAGGAGGATGGGAGAAGTCCGAACACACCTCCCTGCGGTCCCCCCTGGACCCTTGGAATATTTGACCAAATTCTGGTCTGTTTCCAAGGTGACTAACGTGGCAATGACACCCATTTTCCAATGATGCTGTTATATAGATGCATGGAGACATCTGAGGCTCTTCATTGGACACGACAACAACATCGTCTTAGGACAGGAGTCGGCAAATTGCGGCTCGCGAGCCATATGCGGCTCTTTGGATGTGAGGCTGCGGATATTTATATAGTTCTATACGCAAATGTTATTTATGGGAGTGCTATTTATTGTTGACAAGAACAAATGTTGTGGCTCTTTAAAAACTTTGAAAATTTGTAAATTGTTATTTTTAACTCTTCCGACTCAAAAGTTTGCCGATCTCTGTCTTAGGAAGATAGGGAGGGAGGGGCATTGACTCCGAAAGAAATCATAAATGGATCGCTACTGATTGCACTATTATGATTCAGCCATTGGATTGAACACCCGTTTTAAACTATGTTTGTGGGGCAGTAAAACCAGCAACTTATGTTTCATACTTACTAGTAAAACCGCAAGGTTGTCAAAACAGTGGTCAAACAGTCGGTTGTGAAACTGTACCTCACAATTACAGAACCAAGTGTCCAACACGGTAGTATAAACCCGTAGAAAAAGTCAAATTACTTAAGGGTTTCAATTTGTCCGGCTCATGTATTAATTTTTAAAAGTCAACGGGATATGTAATCATTTTACCTAAATCTCTCGATACCTTGCCGCTATACTAGATAAAACAGAATACCAAATTCGATCTAAATGTATTGAAGAGAGAACACTCGTAAAAACCAAAGTGAATTATATTATTATTTAAGACAGAAATTGTCGAAATGGATGACACATTTTACAGATATAAACAAACAGTGGTCTTAATCAATAAAACTTTTAAAAAGTATTAGTTAAATATATAAATTGAGAATGACAATTAGCATTATTGTAGATTCTGTCTGAATATAGTCTACACCAGAAGTCAGACTCTGGCAGATGTGTGGGCAGCAGCAGTAGTTTGGAGAGAGAGAGGATGTTTATCTAAGGATGAGCCATTTCCCAGTCAACAAGCGAGCACAAGATAAACACAGGGGGCTGTGTTGTTTGAATAAGAGCATTATACCATGGTAGCTTGCCACGCTGGTAGCAAGCTTTGCCTTGAACATTTTTAGACAGCTTTATTCCAGACAAATTTAGCGCCGAATCTATTTATTTGCAGGTTTTTTATTTATATTTATTTTTGCAGACATAGTGTGACTATATATAAACACTTTACATTTCGAAATAAACGATTCTCTGTAGACCAAACTGTGGGAGTGGTGGATGCCAACAGTTC